ACACCAAAAGAATAAATAGCATTCAAACCCCAAAAGACACACAAGGACATTGCCATTAAAAGTTTGGGAGGAGCTTGTGGATGTGGGCAGGGAGGTATGGGAGAAGAGAAGAGCTCCTGCTCTTCAGACAAACAGATAAAAAATTTCAAATCAACTCCAAAGTAGATGACACAATAACAGTATCCAAATTCTACACATAAGAGTTCAGCTACTGCCATAAAGAATCCCATTATCTCAGCTCATAAATAAATGTTCATCAGGGATTACTCACAGCAGATTGTTCACATGAACATGATTCCTCAACGATGTTGTATATACAATAAAACAAAGATTACAGAAATGCATCTCTAGAATTCTTGGCTTATGGAGTTGTTTATCATCTGACTTACTGCATTATGCCTAAAAGAGCCAAACAACCCTAAGGCAAAGTCTGTTTTTAATCCATTCCACTCTTAGAAAAAAACCTGAAAGTAAAGATTCTACCCATGCTCACCAGTGACCTGTGTGAACATTAACCTACCACTCTTGAACAGTTAAGGAAGTTCCTTAACTGCTGATGTAAAAACATCAAAATTATTACTGAAGAAAGGATTACCTTCCTCTGAAGGCTGAGTTCATAAAAATCAAAGCTTGATTTCTTAGTTTTCAATTTCCTCCCACTAATCACATCAGTGACAAACGGGAAACACTTCCAAAATTGTCTCAGCCACACCAATGATGTGAAAGTTGAATCACTAAACTCACTTAAATATTAACACTTAGTATGCAGAGATCTTGAAATGGAGACTCTAGAAGCAACCCAAAGAATCAAAGTGTCTGTTTAAATGAACATTTTCAAGACTGTCTTGATCTGTAGGAGACTGTATCTCAGTGCAAAGGGAGAACATGATCTGTAGGAATCTGTATCTCAGTGCAAAGGGAGAACATGGACTCTGAATAACTGCCTTGTAACAAACTCCTCTGCTCAGCTTCTGTCAGGAAAAGCTTTTGTGACATAAGGTATAACTTTGATTCGTTCAGCTTACTGTTTGCATGTTGCAGTTTGTGTTTTGCTTGAAGAACATGACTACAGCACAAAGGAAAAGGTTTCCTTGTTCAATCTGTATCTCAGTGCAAAGGGAGAACATGGACTCTGAATAACTGCCTTGTAACAAACTCCTCTGCTCAGCTTCTGTCAGGAAAAGCTTTTGTGACATAAGGTATAACTTTGATTCGTTCAGCTTACTGTTTGCATGTTGCAGTTTGTGTTTTGCTTGAAGAACATGACTACAGCACAAAGGAAAAGGTTTCCTTGTTCTGACTGCTGCCCACAGGATCAAGGAGAGCTTCTGGAGGAAGGAGGAAGATGGGTTTTTTTTTCTCCCCAAGAGGAAGAGAGGATGCTCAGCTAGGGAAAGCTGCTAGACAACAAACTAGAGAAAACTAGAGGCAGCAGGAAGCTAGCTGGCAGCCAGAGCATGCTCAACAGAGCCCAAGAAGCAACACACTTGCTAAGGACCTTTAGATGACTATGGGAATTGCACAAGCTGTGGATGCTACTAAGGTGCTAAACAGACCCAGTGCTGCTAAGAGACCTGGTCTGCAAGGACTGACTGAACAGAGCTAAAGACTTGCTCATTTACACACCTAACAGCTTTGACTTCTGGCATGTACTTAAATCTTTTTTATTTTCAAAAAATTATAAATGGAGTTCGTTGTCTTATTTTGGTTTGTTATTTTGCATTACAGTAATTTAAAAAAAAAGCTTTAAAAATCCAAGCTCACTATAAGGAGAAGGTCTCATCCCTAAGCTCTGAGCTGGGTGAGGTGGCAGATGTTAATGTGGCAAAGCTTCTAAAGTCATGTGGAAGTGAGACATGGCAAGTCTTCCAAGTTTCCATGACTTAGAAATAATATATAGCTTTTCTGAAACAAGAAGCTACAAGTTCTGAATAATGACAGCATGGATAAACATTCTTTTCTTGCAAATAGTAATTTCCAGTTCTTGCTTAAAAAAAACCAGCTGCTCTCCCTACAATATTTTGCTCACTTTCCTTTGGTGTCAGTTAGGCAGTGTTGCCAGCAAAGCCAGAACAACAGCAGCTTCCTCTCACTCCCTCTCAAAACTCTGAAATGTCACTGCTAGAGGAAATGTCACACTGAAGCACATGATTAATTTGAAAAGTTTAAATTTACTGTATAATTGTGACAGTTTTAGAAGTTTCAGTTTGTACTTGTTACAAATATGGATCTCTAGAAAGCATTTTGGTTAATGACTGAAAGATTAACCCTCTCAACTGGCATCTACTAGCTGGGGGTGTGTGGGTGTGCCTGTGAACCTTGGGACAAGTCCTGTCTTCAAACTAAACTGTGCTGACCAATTCTATCTTCACCTTCAAATCAAGAAGTCCCTGCAGGTTCATATTTAATCTGAGGAATGTATACACAATTTGCAACATCTGCTGGAACATACAGAGTTACTACCTCTTATGTCTCAGCGTCAAGAAAATCACCTAGTTGCTGCCACTACAGTAATTTGGTTTCCAGAGCAATGAAAAGTGAAAGGCACTAATCACAATTATCTCCTCATTTGTATGGGCCATCTGAAGCTACAATAATCAATTTTTCCAACTCCTATGTTATAGGGTTTGAATGGACAGAATTTCTCCTGAGTTTAGACAGACAGACTAAACATTAGCAGCTCTTCAATTTCAACT